GAAGGCATCGCAGTTTTCGAAAAATCCCATCGAGATCCTCCTCCTCGAATGCACTCGACTGAAAGGCTCAATCGGCCGCTTCACCGGCCAACAAACCTAAAGTTGCCACTTTCCTTTCCGAATAGGGGAACTTCTATACGTGAGCACGAGCCTGCACTTCCCAACGAGCATAATTTCCACTGATAGTGAATGTTTTGGGTGGCGGGAGTGGTGGAACTGTCTCCAGTCGGAGCGAGTCGCCTGTGATAAGTTTCGACAAAATTTCGCTGATCATTTCGCCGACGCCCATCGCGGCGCTAGTTTCTGACTTCATCTCCGTCGGCCGCTCGGGCTTCTCTCCTTGATCCTTGCCGTTTTGCTTCTTGGTCGATCCTGCTCGCGACGCCATTTGTAGCGTAAAGGCAGAAGACCTTTTGGGCAGTCTAATTCAATTGGTAACACACTGCAAGGTAAAAATATTAAAATAATGGCCAACGGGGATTTACATTTCGCGTGAGTTATAAGTTCACGGAGTTCTCCTTGCCCGTAATAATATTAACAGCAGAACGGTCTGAAATAGAGATAACGTATTGTGTCACAGTTTGTTGTAGGCATACGTGTTAGTAATAACAATAATAGCAATGGCAAGTCAAATGTTGGGCAAGGGGCATAACAAAAATAATAGTTGTAGGTTCTCGGTGATCTGGTGGTTTCGGTTCCGCCATACACATACGTTCACCATGACGTGCATTACTTAACAGATCACCCCCAATACTTCATTTCATGACCTTGTCCGCTTTGTGTTTCGTTTTCAACGCAAGGCACATTTACGATTTACGTACCTGTTTCAAAACTACGTTCCTGCACTCTTTTTACCATTAATTTTTGGTCTCCACTAATCACGTTTCCTTTTGTTGTTTATTTTGATCATGCGCACTAGCATGCTTCCCTGGCTTCGCGAAATATACCGTTATTATTATTATTATAACTCGAACTAAAGGACCGGTAAACGCTCGTCATGTTAATCTTACTCCTTGAAAGGATCAGTATGACAGTGCATACTTAAGGGTTCCTGGTGCATACCCTGACCTATGGTTCGAGGTGGCTTATGCCCTCCCTAATGAGGATGGCTATTCCCCCTTTCAGACAGTCATGCTCACTACCCTATCTGTAAATTGTATAGCACTCTTGAAAGACTCGGGGTACGTGGTCATTCCAGATAATCAAGTTTCGGTTACCACAACTACCCCTGCGCCGCATTCACCGGCCACCTCAAAGAGTTCCATCCATTTGTTACGTATGCTGCAGGCATTCTTCCGTTCTCCGTCCTTCGTTTCCTATAATGCGTAGGTTTCTCGGTGCCTCAGGAACTAAACCCGAGGGGACGCCGAGTTTTTGCAGTCAAAGGCGGTGTTGACTGGGATCTCCGACGGATCGTGGTGTCTAAGTCTCTTGTAATGGGTGTTGCTAGAACTATACCCCTCAATTCCTTGCTGCTGTTTCTAACCAGGTCGTCGTCTGGTTGATCGCGGTATCGTCCT